TAAGAGAAGAGGTGAGACTTAAGAGAGAAAGAGCAAAGGAATGGGGAATATATTTAGGAGAATTAGGATTTTCCATAGAAGTAGGAATTGATGACAGATTTTCCCATCCAACTCTATTGAGATCATAAGAGGGTAAGGAAACTATAGAAAAAAAGAATCATAAGATAGTAAGCATACTCTTCCTCTTGATGGGTATCATGATTCTCTGTTGATTTTGATGGAGTATGACGACAATCTGACAATTCCTGGTCAAGAAGCAAAAAATATACATTGTAATCTGTAAACTAAAAGAGCTGACATAGAATAATGTAAAAGTTAACATAATTATCAGATGGTTGAAGAATGCGTAAATACATCTAGGATTCGACTTGTATCATTGGGAATAATAGGCACTTCATATAGCAAGAAAAAATCTGATTCAGAGGGGTAGAGGAAGATGCAGTAATTGGAAGAGAAATAGCATGTGATTTGTCGATCTTTAAAAAAGAAATACGCAAAACTCCATTCTTGAGTGACAAGTGGAAAATTCATAAAAAAAAGGAAAAAAAAAATTCAATCGCCACTACATAATAATGCACCTATGTCATATATTAAGCATTGCAATCCTAGATAGAGCAATACGTAAAATATCATTGAAAAATCAGTGGCCCAAACAAACCCTTCCATGTTAAAGCCCCTGAACTCTGTTGTGCTTTCCAAATATATGTAGGGGATACTAACGATGCTGCTGTTAATGATTTTCAGTAGTAGAACCCCTATATCACGAACCCAAACCCTCACCAAAGTGTGATGATGAAGAACTACCAGGTGTTTAATAATGCTGCAAATATACCAGAACCACTTTCTTTTCTGAATAATATCATCACTTGGATGGTATTCATTACATTCAAATGTCAACTTTTCCATAAGGTAGATGCAAAGCATGAGAAATTTATTTTTGAAATAGGTCTAGATAGGAGATCCAAATCTTGGTTGAGATCCACCTGAGTCTTGCATGCATATATTTTACAAAATAAGAAGCAATGAATTAGTAATGCATAGATTTTATGAAATTTTAAAAACAATAATTACATATCTTAAGAAAAGCAAGGTTCTTTTACTTTTAAAAGATTAATGTGTTTTTTAATCTTCACAAAAATGTGAAGAACATCTACAACATATACAAAATACAGAGGAAATGCAAAAAACAAATAAAATAATTACTGCGACTTACCTTCAATATAAACACCTAAAAAATACAAACAACAACAATGGAAAAAAGTATATAAAAGGAAACACTATCATATACCTTCACTATGGAGTTTGTTAAGCTTCATTTAATGGGAAATAATACCTCAAAAATATTGCAATTGCAAAATTTAGACCTAAAAATATAGATAGTAACCTTTCTTCTATTCCAAAAGAGACTTATATGAAAGTCTTGTATGAAAGTAGGACTAGGGTGATTTCTTCTCTTCCAAAAGAGACTATATGAAAATAGGACTAGGGTGATCTAGTACAGGTCGCACTATTTTTTTATTTTTTTTATTTTCACCTACTATACAATGGTCATTTACAACTATTTCAACTCAAAAGAAATAAATAAAATAAATAAAACAGCCCTTACTTGCTGCCAATAAACAAACCAATACTAAAATAATATTCAATTAAAGAAACAATATTATGTAATTATTATTCTTATATTTATACTTTAATTTGATTATTTGACTTGAATTTTGATAAAATATAAATATTAAAATAGAAATAGATATTTTTTATATATGATTCATACATATTTATAACTGAGAAATAATGGACGGCATGAATAAAACTAAGAACGCCTCAAGATTATCTCAACCGATCTTAATAATTGACTGCATGAATAAAACTAATAACGCCTGAAGATTATCTCAACCAATCTTTGAAAGACCCCACACGGGGTCTTTTCCTCAAATAGTGCAATCACAGCTCTATGGTGCATAGGGGTAGTCTCTCGTATATATGTATGATCACTTTCGCACATATGCATGCATCACCCTCAATAATGAATTGCTTTCCTAATACGACCATCATATGCATATGTTGTGTGATTCATTTGAGCAACTCCAACCTCATCAAGGGTTTTCTAACTTGACTGGCCTAGTACGCAAAATCTAGTCTGAGTTATGACAAATAACATTTACATAGCATGATTGACATAGGACCACACTGTCACTCAATTTAAGTTCCATAAAATTCTCATTATCAGCTCTCATAAGGCCTTTAATGGCCATACTAACCTAATATTGACCCACATGGCCTTTGAAGACTTTACAATCTCTCTTCCTTACTTTCTTTCAGTCCCATCTCTCTCACTTGTTTTACAAAAATATTTGCAGCAAGCCACTTGGCTCATTCATCTGGGTAACTTTGACCTCATCAAGGAATAACCCATCAACTTTCATCGGTGTTTATTCCATGCCCAGGAATTAAGGGACTTCTAACTCGATTAGCCTAGCAGGCAAAGCCTAATCTAAGTTAACTAGTCTGGCAAGCAAAGACTAGTCTGAGTTATAGTAAATAACATTTGCATAGCATGATCCACATATGACCACACCCACTAAATTTAAGTTCCATAAAATTCTTATTACAAGCTCTCATAAAGCCTTTAATGACCATACTAACCCAACATTACACTCTTCCAAAACAAGCTTATAGAAGTCGATACGATGCAAAGCATTTGAGGCCATGCGATCAAACAATTTACCGTATCACATAATTAAGCACACAAAATCAGTCGTTTTCCAGCAATGAAAACCATATCAATGTAAGTATCTTATCATAGATATAAGAAAGAAGTTTATATATAGTCGAGGCTTTAAACAATCAAATTAGAGCCTACTTCGAAAATTTCACTAGAAATAATGGATTTCAAGTTTTGAAAATGGTTAATCTTGTTATTTATTTTTTGACTGTCAATTTTCAAGTTTTTATAGATTTGTTCGATTGTACTATCTTTGAAGCTTTACATTTTATAATTAAAGATGAAAATATATTTTAAGGCTATTAGAGAGATTTTCAGTATTGAAACCATATTTCTCGACCCTATTTGAAGGTGCACTTTACTTTGATAGAGCTTTGGCTCTATACAAACCACACCCTAGTTATAATGCACAAGACAAATTATTATTTTGGAGGAATAGAAGTAGATGGACGTGGCGCTTCCCTTCTTCTATGTGCATTGCTTCACGGTGTGGCGGCGATACTATTAGATAATACCGAATTATAGGTAGAGAGAGATCATCGTTTTTCTGATGAGCAAGATAGCAAGATAAACACTAAAGATAGGTAGATTACTATAAAAGAAGATTCTATATTTATCTTCTCTATGGGCGTGATAAACACTAAAGATAGGTAAATTACTAAAAAAAAAAAAATTATCTTTATCTAAAATTAGAACGAACTTGTTAAAGTGAGATAAATATTCAACTAACTACTTTCATGATTTTTTCTCATTCTTATTTTCTACTCATCTCTCTCTAAAATATAAAACTTATTTTTCTTTTTGATTTTCTTTCCATATTTTCTCACCTTCTCATTGTCTCGTATAGTCATCTCTCTCTCCTAAATATGGGAGCCTATTTGTCCCTTTGATTTCCTCTCTATCTTTCCCTCACAATTTCTTCTTCTATTTATCAAATTAAGATATAGAAACACATTATCTCTACCTTTTCTTAAAATCTTGTTTTAGGAGATTCTCTACCTTTTACACACAAATTTTAGTCCTAAAATCTCTCAAAAAAACAAAATTATCTACCTTTCACGCACAAATTTTAGTCCTGAAATCTCTTATTCTCTCTCCCTCTCCCTTGTGCGTACTCTCTCTTTCTCAAATTTTAAGATGGGTGCAATTGGCATACGGATGCCTCTATATAGAGGTACGGTACCCTTCAATTTTTATCATGGTATATAATTTTGATATAAAATGTTATTAGGATTATCTCAAAATCTATTTTTATATCTAATTATAAAATTTTAAATTTAAAAAATGGTTAAAATCAAGTAGATCTATAAACATAGGAAAATCTTGATAATGGATGGTGTAGATAATATGTTGTAAAATGCATTACTTTTTATACTTAAAAATCATTTTATTTTTCATAGTCGTACATCTCGATGAGGAGATGATCAATCAAAGGGTTTTTTCAACATTAAAACTACCTTTTCCGACGATTTTTGAGAGGTATCCGTAGTTCTACAATATTAGGTAGCATCTTTATATAAACTTTTTCTTTATAAAATATGGAAACAATCTCTCTCTCAATTAATATATGAAAATAATGTGGAGATATATACCATCTCTTCCCTTTGGTCCTAAAATCTCTCATTCTCTCTACTCTCTCTTTATCGTGAAGATATATATTCTCTTTTCCTTTTTAGTCTTAAAATCTCTCATTCTCTCTCGTGTGGACTATCTCTTTATCAAATAAAAACATGAAAATAACCTCTATTTCTCTATCATATTAAGATATAGAAACAATGTGGAGATATACTATATCTCTTCCCCTAAAGTGATGTGCGTACTATCTCTTTATCAAATTAAAATATGACAAATTAAGATATAGAAACAATGTGGAGATATATGCTCTATCTCTTCCCCTAAAATGAAGAATGCCTTCTAAATATAATTAAGATCATTTATTTTTGGTACAAGATCGTAATCGTTTTTGATAATTGGATGTGAAATCCAATAGACGAAAGTGTGTCGCAACATTTAAATTTTTTTTATTTTGGGCGCATCCTCCATCATCTAATTTCAAATTTAATGCTTAATAATAATTGTGACCTGTTGCATAAAAGTAAATAGTAAATAATCTTATTGAATACATTTCCTTTTATTAAATTGATCTAAAAATTTATTCCGAAGAAAATAATTACAAGGCTTGGGAGGTAAGTTTTCATGCAATTTTCCCTGAAAAAAAAAGACAATTACTTAAGGGCCAAGGGTCCAGCATCTTACTTTTATTTTTTAATACGGGCTTTTCGAGTGAGACAGGAAGGCTTAACGAGAGAGAAAAGTGTGAACCCTAAAGAGAGAAACAGAGGCAAATTCAAAAGTTTATCTCCTGAAGTTTTCTTTGTCCATACTCTATAACCATGGCTACCTCTGCTCCCGAAGATAGCATGTTCGAGGATGATGATATCGCTTCCATGTCGACCGAAGACATTATCAGGAGCTCTCGACTCCTCGACAACGAAATCCGCATCTTTAAGGTATGCTCTGTCTCTGTCTCTCTTCTCCGTCTATATTAGCATAGATCCTGGGCAAGTATTTAGGGTTTCTTATTCGTGTTTCTTCTGCATTGAAGGATGAGTTACAGAGAACGAATCTGGAGTTGGAGACGTTCAAGGAAAAGATAAAGGAGAACCAGGAGAAGATCAAGCTGAACAAGCAACTCCCATACCTTGTCGGTAACATAGTCGAGGTATTATTGGATCTTTAGCCATATTTGTACTGATTTAAGTAAAGTCTTTTTTTTTCTTTTGTTCTTTTTTTCTTTTTATGAATTGCTTTTTGTCAATTTTGTAATGTTGGAGATTTTTGATGGTGTTTTTTCTATGGTATTATTTTATCTGCAGATCATTACATTCGGAAAGATGATTATTCTTTCTTAACTTTAGCAGTGAACATGATTTTTTCTTTCTTTTTGGGGGTAGTTCAGCTATAGGAATTGAATTTGAGATACAGCAGTCGACATGATTGATTAATGAATGAATGGACTTCATGAATGTGGAGTGAAAGTTGAATTAGGTCAAGCTGACATTGATATGGGAAGTGTAAAAAGGGAATGTAAAAATTGGGAGTGTTTGACTATTAGAGATACCTTATGGCTGTTTAACATGAATGAATGAACTTCATGAATGTGGGGTAAAACTCGAATTATGTCAAGCTAACATTCAAATGGGAAGTGTAAATATTGGGAGTGTTTAATTACTGGAGATCCCTTGTGGCTGAGAAAGCCAGGAGAAAAGGTTCTATGAAAGACTGGCAAAATAGCAGGAGTTCCATTTTAAATTGAAGGAACTTAGGGGAAATTTAGTATATTATATCTAAAAACTTGGACTTCGTGGATGAAGTTGCCACTTTATGAAAAACGAAATTGACATATTCTGTCGTGTTCTCTGCAATTTTTCTAGGTTGGACCATGGTTGTTTTTCTAGGTTGGACCATAGTTTTCGGGTGCAGGTGTGTTCCCGGGAGCGGGAGCAGGAGCAGGAGTAGGAGCTGCCTTGGGTCCGCGGAACCGTGGATTGTTGGAAGCTAATTGTGGTTGAGATTGTCATCCTTACGATCCTTTATCAAGGGAGCGTGATCCTTGTCACAGGGAAGCGCGATTCCATGGAAGGAATCACAATAGTATGTTTTAAGGGATCACGAATGATGCATGGGTTCACAGTACCATTGGGCACAAAACTGAATCATTGCATATGAACCAGTGCCAAATAGAGAAAAAATCATATGCCACTGTGTCATATACTTGAGAACCGCGGTTTGAACCTGCTGGGAACGCGAATCACAATATAGGGATCCGCGCTCCATTCAAAATTCCTAGATGGAACCCCGGAATCGAGATCCTGGAGCGGGTCCATGACCTTTCCTACAAGGTTCCAGCAACTATGGGTTGGCTTAATTGGGGTTGCACTAAGGAAAAAGTGGTTACGGGTAGTGCAACTATTATTTAATACTTTACTATGTGCTGCCTTTATCTATTAATTAGAATGTGATCATGTGAAGTTCTCCCTTTTTTTCATGATGAATTCTATCCAATAGTTGTTTTTGTTTTCATTGATGTGTAACTATGTGGCACACTGTATTAAAGTTGGATCGGGTTCTTATTATCAAATTAGAAAAAGAAAAAAGTGATTTAGTTCTTTACACTGAGTAAGTTATGTGTTCATTAAATTAAGGATATCAATGTAGGCATGGTCTTTTGAACTTGATCCATTTCTTTTGTATTGTCAAATACTCAAACTTATGTGCAAGTTCCCTGAATTAGCCATGTTGATGCGAGGATTTGTTCTTCCACTAATGCTGGTTCTATATGCCAAGTGTTTGTAGGCTTGTGAAAAATGGTGTGCCCACCATATACTTCTCTAATATTATGTTTACTTGTCTCAATTCCTTTTTAGGAGTGTAGATAGGTTAATCATGATCTATTCACAAGCCATTTTCCAATGTAGTTTCATGCTGCTTAAACTTTTGGGAGCTAAAAAATGGGCAATTCTTTTAGCAAACTTCATAAGTTGTTTTACAAAACAAGAGCTGTCTTTGATGATGAAGCCACTTAATGTCCGACTTAGGAATTAGGCTTGGATTGGCCATGCCATTGCATAGAGTTCATCTGTAACTCGGGTGAATTGGCTCATTGAGTCATAATCCCATTGACTTTAGGTTAGCTAAGAAAATTTGTATAATAAGAAGATAATGTTGAAAATCCAATAAGTTCAAAGAATTAGAAAAAAAATTCGGATGGAACAATGGCATTGTCTTGGGTTTTCTAGCAAGCTACTTAAAATTTAGAAGCAATGTCCAGGTTGGCTTTTTCTGGATGGTGAACCGAAGCAGATTTGGGTGGTATTCTTCAAGTGGCCTATCAGCAGACGATTTGAGCGGGTTGGAAATGACCTGCTTTTGGTTCCACTTGAAAACTTGGACCCCCTTATGAAGTTTATAGAAGTAATAAGGGGCACAGAATCCTGACAATGTTCCTTTTGTCGTTTATGCACAAATGCACAATATAACTTTGTCGTTTTAGATTCATTGAAACCTGATCCTCCAAGGTTAAAGGAATTTGTTCGAATGTTACTGAAGAAGCAATGGATGAACATGCCAAACTATTAACACTTAGTTTAGCTGAAATGAAGTTTTACTGCTTTACTTGCATTCTAATGTGTTTGCGAACTTCATTTGTGGAATTATATGATATGCATGTTAATGTTGCCCTCCTCAAGTAACACACATTTCAACATGATGGTGAGGTTTCCAACCGATGGTAATAACATCTATATCATAGTTAATAGCTTAATGTAGCTTGAAGGGTACATGCAGTAAGACTAATTGATTAATCATATGCAAAAACAAAGAATACATGTCACATTTCTCTTAGCTGCTGATCAAGATGCTCCAATTACTCAATATGTGGAACGCAGTGGTCCATCCTTGGTTTGGACCCCTATCTTCAAAAGAAACCTTACTGACTCTGAAACCAACACTTTCAACTCCCTCCTTTAGCTGCTTCCCCTATCTTCATTCCCCTGTGTCTAGGGAAGACTAAATCATTGGGGTCCCCATCTCCTCGGGAGTCTTCAATATATCCTCGTTCTACTCATTCCTGCTTCCCTCTTTGACCGCCTCCCTCTCCTTAACAAATTCTGGTCCATTCCTGTCCTCCACAAGGTCCAAGGATTTGCATGGATCCTACTTCAAGGAAGGGTCCAAACCCTGGCCCAACTTCAGAAGGGCGGTCTCTCCTTCCCTAACCGCTGCATCTTGTGCCTTCAAGAAGAGGAGACTATACCGCATCTCTTTATCCCCTGTGCGGTGTCCTTTTCCCTGTGGTCCTCCCTCCTCCAACTCTTTGGCCTTCAATGGGCCACCCCTCCTTTCCTCTCCTAGCTTTTTTCAGCTCAATCCTCTCCTCTTTTCCCCGCTCATGGTAGAAAATAGTGGTGCATTTCAGTGGTGGCTCTTTTGCGGTCTATTTGGTTAGAATGGAATGTGAGAACTTTCCGCAGCCTTTGCTCGACACCATTTCCCTCTCTTTGATTCCGTCCTATCCTTGATTTCCTTATGGGCAAAAAATATTTTTGCCTTCTTTTCTCTTCCCTTATCACACTTCTGTGATAGTTGGCAATGCCTGTTGTCCTTAGGTTCCCCTTCGCCTCAGATTAGGGCTGTGTGGAAGCCTCCCCCCTTGGGTGTTCTCAAACTTAACACAAATGGATCTTTTCTTGGGAATCCTGGCCCTTCAGGCTTTGGTGACAGCCTTTCCACCTCAGAGGGTGTCTTCCCCTCGTTCTCGGGGCCCTTAAGAATCTTAGATTCCGCCAGAGTTGAGGCGCTGGCTTTGTTCGAAGGTATTAAGAGGGTCTCTCAACTTGGCACACAATTCTCAGGTGTGTGGGTCGAGCGTGATTCCAGCGGGATCATTCTGTGGGCATCTAACCTCAAACAGTCACCTTGGCGCTTTTCTTCCACCTTTGACCAAATTACCTTCATGTTTGGAGCCATACTGCCAGTTACCTTCAAGCATATTCTCTGAGCCGCCAACACAGTAGCAGAGAGCGTTGCTAAGGATGGAGCTTTAAGTACTTTTCCTACAGTTTTGTTTTCTGTCTAGTACCTCTCCCCTATCTCCTCTATTGTTACGACATCTCTATCCATTTCTCTCTCATGTACTCACTTCCACTATTTCCCCTTTATTATGTAAATAAGAAATTTTTGAGGAGGGCGGAAAGGGAAAAAGGAGAAGAAAAATAGAAAAAGAAACGTGACCAAAAGACAAAAAAATTGGGGTAGAAAAGGGAAGAGAAAAAAGGGAAGAATAAGGAAAAAGAGGTTCAGGTCCACCATTGCTGGTCACCCCCTCCCCCTACCCTTCCTTCGTCTTTCTTCTCCTATCAGCCTCCCCTTTACCTTTCTCTTTAATCCCTGTCTCATTTCTCTCCTTCTTTACAGGGTTTTCCTACCTCCTTACCTCCTCTCTTATTCCTTTCCTTTCTTTTCTTTGCTGATCTCTCTTTTCCTTTCCCTCCCTCGTACTCTCTTTTCCCTATCTTAGAGCACTAGACCTTTCCCCTTTCTCTCTCCCTCTCTTCTTATCTCTTTAATCCACCCTTCCTCTCTCTTTCTCTTTAACCCCCCCCCCCCCTCCTTTTTCTGCTTTTGTTTTTTGTTTTGTCTTTTCCTTTATTTTTGCTTCTTTCTCCCATATTTTTCCTTTCTTTTTTGGGACATTTTTATTCTCCTCCTGTCCTTTGTATTCTGAGCACCCATCTTGTGGGCTGCCTTTTTACCACTCCTCGTGGTTTTATATACTTTATTATACGATAAGTCTATGAATTAAACTTTCACCAAAAAAAAGAAGAACAAGTGTCACATTGTGATGAACACTTCTTGCAGGAGCTTTTTTTGTTTAGTTGCTGTTATTCTTCTTATTTTATAGGTTCGAACATTGGTAGCAGCGATATTTTTGGTAACAGTAAGATTAATTTATTTGTTCAATTTCACTGTATATTGACATTTTAAAAGTTGAACAATGGAAGATAACCCCACCATGCATAAAATAATGATGAAAGGGGAACATCCATCCATGAGTGTTTCTTGCCATAATCTGACATTTTTTGGTAACAAACATCTCTCCTTGCGCTTTTCTTGCCTTTAGATTGTGATAAGTCTTATGCATTTATGCTGTAGGTTCTCCTTTGTACTGTAGGAAATCATGTATATGGGTTCTTTTTAATGAATTTTTTTACTTGCCACGTTTCTTTTAGATCTATTTTTCTCTAGGTTAAGTTTGTTACATTATAGATTTTATTATGGACATGGAAATTTGAAGAAGCTTGGAGGATATTCATAACAGCTTTATCTTTTTTAGATTTTGGAAATGAATCCAGAGGATGATGCCGAAGAGGATGGTGCAAATGTTGACCTAGATTCTCAGAGGAAGGGAAAGTGTGTTGTACTTAAAACATCAACACGTCAGGTGTGCAACATTAAATCTTGGGCTCATATATGATTGCTTTGCAGATGAACCTCTGCTACCATGTTCCATTATTTTTTGATGTCTTATACTGGGTTCTATTGATGCCAATATACTAGTGTGGCTTTTGTTGGGTTCTGACTTCGTGCATCAAGGAAAGTAGTCTAGTTCTGTTGCATGGATGCTTCATTCAATTTTGGAACAGTAGACTGTAGATTAATTTATTTTTGTTTGATTTGCTGACATCATTAAAATTTTATGTTGATTTATTGTGTTTCAATTATTTATGCAATATGAAATTATGAAGAGAAAGGTTGCGTAAAGAGTTGTGTAACTGATTGCAAATGTTACTTGAAGCAAATCTTCCTTTTTGTTTTTTTTGTTTTTCTAATTTCTTTTCATGAGCTTAGAAAACTTTGATACTATTGTATATGGGACCGATAGCTTCAGAGCTTTTTATACTTAGTTGTTTGATTGCAGACCATATTTTTACCTGTTGTTGGGCTCGTAGATCCTGACAAGCTAAAGCCTGGTGACTTGGTTGGGGTGAATAAAGACAGTTACCTGATATTGGATACTTTGCCGTCTGAGTATGATTCGCGTGTTAAGGCTATGGAAGTTGATGAAAAGCCTACTGAAGATTACAATGACATAGGAGGTCTTGAGAAGCAGGTGAGGTGCCATTGTTTTTTGCTTCTCAGGGAACCGTAATGCCAGGTTTTTGGGACCTATGACGCTAGAAAATTTTGTTTGTTTGTGTGTCTGTGTCCCTCAAGAAACTATATTTCTATGCCTTGAACCTTTAATTGTGTGGCAAACTGGGAATGAAAGAATTACCTTCACGTGTGTTCATTAGTCATCAATTATTGGATGGTTGAGGTAATGATTACAAACATCTGCCAATGGATTGACATCATTGAAATTGCGTAATTTGTTGGTTGTTTTCCTCCAGTATTAGTTTTACTACATTTTTGTCCTGATAAAAGAAATCTCCTCGTTTTCTTTGGGGTAGTTAATTTGGGCTATTTCTAAGTGGTACAAAACATGATTTTTTCGGCAGATTCAAGAACTCGTTGAGGCTATTGTTTTACCTATGACCCACAAGGAAAGGTTTCAGAAATTGGGAATTCGTCCCCCCAAAGGAGTTCTTCTCTATGGACCTCCTGGAACGGGAAAAACTCTAATGGCACGGGCATGCGCTGCTCAGACAAATGCTACTTTTCTGAAGCTTGCAGGTCCCCAATTAGTTCAGGTAATTTTTTCTTTGTTAACAGCACTTGGTGTTGCTGCTTTCTTGTCTTAAATAGTATTTGTTGATTTGCTACTGTATTCCGAGGACCTATATGCTTTACACTTCTTTTATCATCTAAAGGAGAACTTGTCGATCTTATTACATAATGTGATTGTGAATGTATGCCGGTTGGAAATATATGTCGTATTCTCTGGATTTGGCCTATACATCTCTGTTTCTTTGGTTTGCCATTACTCTTTGGTTCTTTAAACTCTGGGTTCCAAGGAATTCTTGATAGTTTGCAAGTTTGCCAAGCCCTTCCACTATATGGGATCATGAACCGCACTATAAGTTACTATTTGGATTGCACCTATCATAGGTCTAATTCAAGGGAGTGAAGCAATTCAACGGAATGTGATTACAGTGGATTGATTTGAAGGGTTTCTGAGACTTTTGGAATTGGCATAATTTGAGAGTATTGCATAATTGGAGATTCCTGATTGGGTTGGGTGTAGAAGATATGTTTCACATATGCTAAGTGGCAATCCTTCCCAACTGAGAGAGGTCACCATAGTAGTGGGTATTTATTGTGAATGGGGAGAGCACTTGGGTAGTCAGATAGCCGGATACTTAGAGAAGTTTGAAGTTTTACCCCCTATGAGGGTATTGATTACTGAACAAATTGTAAATAAGGTTTGGTGTGCCTACCTTGTAGTGAACACTTGTTCACCGTGATTCGATCCACTTCATCTATGTCTTGTCCTACTATTATAGTAGATTTAGCTGCCAAAAAAGGAATATTTTCTGGTATCTTTTTGTCTCTTGTGTTTGCCGACTTGTTTGTGGTGGGCCGGTAATTTTTTAAGCAGACTTGGTGCATGTTGTTACACCTTTTAAATGCTTCTTGCTTTCCTTAAACCTACTTAAAGATAAACTTCTTTATTCCTTTCTGCTTGCGAAACTCATCAACCTGTATTCTTTACTTGGATGGAACTAAACTTTTCTGTTTGGTTCATTTAGTTGACTGCAAAATCAAATATTCACTGGACTGTATTAAGTTTTTTTTTAATTATATGTATGCTGCAATTGGCAGTTTGCTTCTCCAGCACAATTAACATGCTTGTTATTCTTGCTATGTTTTTGGGTATTAGGTTTGTTTTGATTTGGTGGTCGTATTTTTTAGTAGCATTTCTCACAAAAATCCCCTCATTATCACATTCCTTGGTCAATTTCCGTCGTTTTCTTAGATTAGTGCTTAACTTCATTGAGTAGTTCTACATGAACTTTAAAATTCTGTGACAGAAGTTTGAAACTTCATTGTACTGCTATGGTTGAATAGTAAATTGTTGATGTCAAATGCCTCAGATGTTCATTGGTGATGGAGCAAAGCTTGTGCGTGATGCATTTCAACTTGCTAAAGAGAAATCCCCATGCATCATTTTCATAGATGAGATTGATGCAATAGGAACAAAACGATTTGACAGGTGTGTTGGTTTTGCATTTGCTGTTGCTATTTGAATATTTATATCATGGCTTGTTTACTCTCCAAAGCTACATACATAGAAAATGAAAACTGTAGGGGCAAGCTTATGGTCTTATGGAATCACATTGCAATATTTATTGTAGTTTTTTCTTAAGTTAGGGAACTACACCTTGCTCTTCCATGTAAATTGTGTGCATTGCCTTAATTTTATGGGAACCACTTCTTTTTGTTTGCTGTGGTTGATGGAACCTGGAACCTGAATTTAATCATGGAACACTCTTGTACTATGGCTGTATTAATGCATATTTGTATATTCATTACTGTTCCAGGGGTGATTAGCTGTCCTTTTCTTTTATAAACCATTGGAATGAGGACTAGAATTCTATTTTTAAGATAACATAACCCAATTAGATGCAAGGGTTTTAGTACAAAGACGTCAAGAGTATCACAGCTGAAATTTGTGAATGACAGGATTATCTGTATCCCATCAGTCTGTTAACTGTTCTGTGTTTCTGGTGAGTTTTGAGGGAGCATGTCAAAATACAAGCCAGGTTAAGAGGCCGTGTCTGATAGTGGACTATAGCAACTGTGGTTGTCACTAGTCCCTTAGTTATTGATATCTTAAAAAAAAAAAATCGTTTTCATGCTTGATTGAAGAGATCGAGTTTCATCATTACATTCCTATTGAGAGGTTCTCCTCCTTCCCATGATACTGCCTTTGACCATAGGATCTGTTTTGTAGATATCTATTGCTGGAAACTTACTGGAAAAAACTGGAAAACCTCTGCAAAACCCTGAGCTTCTGTTTTCAGTGTAATGGTTAGTCAATCAAGTGCTTCCCAGAACAAAGGCAGAACCAATGTGGGCCTCATGCTGTCAGGGGGGCTGATACGGCCATGCGGCTTGATGCGGTCCAGATGTGTCGTGTCACCCCTATGCGGTTAATATATAAAAAAGGTCCAAAAAATATCAAAAAATAGGTTAACACATGAAAAAAAAATGGAGGTGATGGTATTTAATTTATTCATTAGCTCCAATCCCCTGATAGAAGACATTAGAAAGTATAAACTAGAAACTTGAAAGTAACTATATAGAAGGCATTCAAAGACTTTGTATTATCATAAACATCAAAAAAACAATAATTGCAATTGCAAACTTTAAAGTTGCAGACTCCAAATATACAATTACTAAAAGTCTATGAAGCGTTCAAGAGTCGAGACAAAACATAGAAGATAATAGATATTAAAAGATAATCTAATGAGTTCTCAACTCTCAAGTCTCAACCTCAAATCTCAATCTGACAAGTCATCTAGGGAGTCTCCATGTGCATGTGGATCTCTAACATCTAAGTGCGATGATATGGGGGCATCAACATCATCGATATCATCCTCAGTGGCCCCCAAATATACTTCATCTTCCTTGGTCTCCTCTGAGTCAGCCTCCTCCTCCTCCTCGACCTTTGGAACTTTTTTTCTTTTGTGTTCTAGTGTTAGGATGTACTTCTTCTTCAGCCCCTGCTGCGAGTTCGACATCATACCAAGTGAGACCTCACCCTCAAACACATGCTCTGCATGTGGATCCATAGTCTACTCACATTTGCCCTCACCATCAAGTCATACAATCGAATTGGGGTGAGATCCATGTGCCTTTTGCACCTTTTGCGAAGGTGCTCATTATATCGCACATAAACTAGATCATTCAACTTCTTCTGCTCTAGGATATTTCTTTTTTTGGTATGGAGCTGTGGCACAAAACAAGGAAACAAACAAAAGGAAGAGATCTTATTTTCTAGTTTCTAGTTTCTACTCATCTTAGATTTTAGAACATCAAAATTTGAAATCCAAGAAATAAGGATTAAGGATTTAACATGCTCAAATGCACTCCAATTACTCATTCGCAACCAGATGAACTACATGTGAGATTGAACACTTGAACAACGAGACATTGTAGATTTGGTGTCTCGCTTACATATAATGCCCACCATGTAGCTGCATAATATTTTAAAATTTAGAAATATTTATATAATGGAACTGTACAATTAAAAAATTGTAAAGCAAAAGAGAAAAGGTACTCTTTACCTTTTCGATCACCTGGATATGTAGTGTCCCTGTTTTGAATAGCGATGTGTCTCCTAAAGTTTCCCAATGCACAGTTGAACTTGATCAAGTCATGGCTTTGGATCTCATCTTGGATAGCTGGGTCAGGGACCAATCTCTCAAGCACATTTAAGTACCCACTATTTGTATTAGAGTCAATGGACAAGTGCTTGTAGTGAAGAGATGAATTCAGAAATTAACCGGCTGCATGGAGGTGCCTGCGAAGCTTGGTTATCCGATCTCTTATAAGCAATTTCAAGTATAACTTTGCATTTCGTTTCATTATCCTTCAGAATCTTTTTGATCTCTTCTCTTGCTGTAGTCATTGCCTCAAGTATGTAGCCCATGGCAGGCTTCGCTTCACCATCAACCAATTGAAACACTTTCACTAAAGGGCGAGAAACATCCAATGCATGATACATCTGGTCCCATAATTATGTATTGAGAACAATCTGCTCAACCTCTCTCTTCTCGTTGCTTTGACCACTTACTTTTATTGCATTGCTTTGAAGTAAACATTGTCCTTAGGGCATTTCTATGCTTGCATATGCTCCTAAGAATGAGAAATGATGTGGCAAATCTAGTGACACCTGGTCTCACTATCTCTCTCTTCTTTATAAAACCCCTCATGATGCCAAGGTGTAAGGACTATGGTATGATTATAGATAAATGCCACAACAAACATAGCTTTTGAAATCACCACAAAAAAAGATGGATGTTGTACCCATTTTTTTAAGCATGAGATTAAGACATTGCGTTGTGCAAGGAGTCCAAAACATATGTCTCCTCTTCAAAGTTAAAAAATGCCCAGCTACAACATAATTGGCACCATTGCTAGTGACAATTTGTACCACATGTTCCTCTCCAACAAATTCTACAATCTCATGCATCAAGTCACATAAGTATGTAGGATCATGTGACTTGCTTGATGCATCAATGGACTTAACAAAAAAAAAAACCTGATCGACAATTAACAAAAAACATTAATGAATGTCCTAGACTTTCCATCAGAACATCCATCACACATGATGCTCCACCCGAAATTTCTCGTACCCTTCTCTTTGTGAAATCGGAATTTTATTCACATCAGACAGAACATCCTTCAAAAGAGGCTTCCAAAGCTCACGTAATATGGGAGACTTAAGTCTTGGACCAAATTGCCCAATGACTTGGACCAGATATGCAAAAATATCAAGGGTTGTAGTATTGAAAGGAATATTGTCTATATAAAACCACTTTGCAATGTACTTACCTGCCATCTTTATATAAAACCACTTTGCAATGTACTTACCTACCGTCTTCCTCTCTTATGTCTTGTATCAATTTTCAATAGTGGTTTCTTTTGTTTTTTTCCTCCTCTCCTAAACCACAAGTTCGGGTCAGGGGTGCAAAATTGCGTCCATTGGCCCCTTAGGGAGAGGTCTTTTGTGTGGAACACCAACATCAATATTTATAATGCTCTCCTTTGGAGTCACTGTTGCCTCATAACATGTTCTGAAATATCCTCATCATCTTCATCATCATCAAATAATTGAATTTCATCCATTATATTCTTTGTTTCATTTTCTTCTTTTCTTTTTGTATTGTTAAGCTATCTATGTATTCTCCAATTTCCCTTTCAATCTCTTTGGTTGCTTGTGGGCATACTCAGTTGCTTGTGGGCGTACTCTGACATTCCTAGTAATACTGGCTATGTGTTCTTTTGTCGGGATATACCCCCATATAAGTATTTCCACGAAGGGTACAAATAACATGATTTCAGTGTTTTGGATTTTTGAGTTCTGCACAGTTCCAAGCCAAATCCTTGTTACTTGAAGATCATGAGGACATTGGCCACCGCCCCGCCCCCCCCCTCGGCCCCAAAAAAAAAAAAAAAGGTGTCAGGAAATGAAAACTTACCAATAAATCGAAAGAGAATTTTGATATCTTCTTGGCCTTTGAAACCCTCTATGTGTTGACGAATCTATGCCCAAACGTCTTCAAATCAATGCCTAAGCTAATTCTGATTGATAATCCAACCAAGATCCAAAGTAATCCGACAAAATTTCGAACAACAAAAAATTTCGCCCAAATTTTTGTTTTTCTGTTTTTGATGACAAAACAGTCATTATGGTTGTTTTATGTCTTTGGGGGGGTTTCGTATCCCCAAAACCCTTTCTTACCCTTTTCGTCCAGGAAGGGGGAAATTGCCTAACTGCCCATGCTCGTGGGCATTATTTTTGCCCACGAGCCTGGGCAGTCTATGCGGGCACATAAAACGCATATGCCGCATGGCACATGATGCGGCTGCATAAAGCACTATGCAGCTGCATTGTAAAACACTGGCAGAAACAATGGGTTGTTTTACTCTTGCATTTTTAAATAGCTGTGACTTCAAAATAAATGAGTAAACCATCTAGTATGTTCCCATTATATGTGTTGTGTGATATTGTTTTACTTGTTTTGGTCATAAATGCCTATACTTTCTTCATGTTGGCATTTGAGAATTTCATGCCTTGATCTCAAGTCATTTTGTTGCTCATTGTTTTTGGAAAACTTCAGTTTGCAAAGTTAAAAATAATAAAATATTTCATTATGTTGAACTAATCAGTCCCTGTTTCATCAGTGACATTATGTTGAACTAATCAGCTTGTATTTACTATTCTTTTCTGTCTGGGACATCAGTGAAGTGAGTGGTGATCGAGAGGTTCAGCGCACAATGTTAGAATTGCTAAATCAGCTTGACGGTTTCAGCAGTGATGACCGGATAAAGGTTAGATTTTGGAAACTTATTTGTCCTCATAACACACTCGTAGTTCCGGTTTTGTTTCGAGTTGGGTCTGGATTTTTAAGTTCATTAGAAGCCTTTTACTTTTTTGATCTGTAGCTATATTTAACTAATTTAAGTAAGTACAATATATATATATATATATATATATATATATATATATATATATATATATA